AAGAGGGAGTCAAGCTATTCTCCAAAGCACACGAGGGCAGGACAAGAAGCAACCCCATTATTCTATGTTCCCTTTCTGATTGCAAAGATGGGTTTTTTGGAGGGGGGAAATTTATAATGTGCTGTCTTCCATACGTCTCTGTTTAGGAACTCAAGCCAGTTATTGACGGAATGGATGGCATCAAGATCTCACAGGGGCTTGGCCTTCAAGACTTCGACCTGATCAGAGTCATTGGACGAGGAAGCTATGCCAAAGTTCTTTTAGTGCGGTTGAAAAAGAACGATCAAATTTATGCAATGAAGGTCGTCAAGAAGGAATTAGTTCACGACGATGAGGTAAAAAGCTGCTTCAACACACCGCCAGCCTAACCTTGTTGAGCTTCCTGCTTTCTAAGCGGGATGGGGGGGAGAAAAATAATATATATTAATATGATTAAAACTTCCAGCCTTTTCCAAAAAACCCAACATAAAACAGTTATTATTTTGACCAGACAAAAAAAAAAGATGCGAAGTAGGAGAGGAAGTAAGGGAGGGATAGTAAGGAGAGAGGGTAAGAAGGAGAAGAAGAGAGGGGGAGAGGGAGAGGAAGAAGAAAAGAGGAAAGAGAGGAGCAAAGAAGGCAGAGAAGGGAGGTTGGGAAGAAACGAGTAGTATTGTTGCAAAATAAGATGGATTTACGGGGTGACAAAAAGCGACCCCAATTGTGTTTTTTATATTCTTAAACAGATTGTGATAAAAGGTAGAAGTCAACAGATAAATATGTTAGTAGTACCTATGAGAATGTATATTTGTGAATGTATATGGAAAGAAAAAATAAAACTTTTTACAAAAAACAAAAAAGAAGCGAAGTAATATATAGGAAGATTTTTTTGAAAAAAAGATTGTAAGAGGAATGAGAAATCTCTGACTGGACTTTATGAATGTTTATTATTAAAGGTTTTGAGTGTGTGTGTGTGTGTTAGTGTGTGGCCTTTGGTGTTAAACACCCTGTTTGATAGCATCCCTTTGCATTCTCCAATTACTCTCTTTCAGGATATTGATTGGGTGCAAACCGAAAAGCATGTCTTTGAGCAGGCATCCAATAACCCTTTTCTAGTTGGCTTACATTCCTGTTTTCAAACGACAAGTCGGTAAGTAAGCAGATCCCCTTATTTATTTATTTATTTATTTATTTATTTATTTATTTATTTATTTATTTATTTATTTATTTATTTATTTATTTATTTATTT